CTAGCGGCTGTCAATGAGACAGCCACTAGAGGCTGGATTAACCCTAATATAAACATAGCAGTTTCTCTGAAACTGCTGTGTTTATAGAAAAAAAGGGTTAACCCTAGCTGGACCTGGCACCCAGACCACTTCATTAAGCTGAAGTGGTCTGGGTGCCTATAGTCCTTTAACTCAGACTGTGGAAGACAGAGATATTAGAGTCAAAAAGGACTGGACTGCATTAAAGCTATGGAATGGAAATGAACAGAGGAGGTGAGAATTGGTCAAGCAAGAGATTTGGGTGAGTATCAAAATAAGGGGAGGGGGGGCAGGAGGGTTTAATGTATCATTACTCCACTATGCTACAGTCTTACTGTACAAAAGTATCAACATTTGGAAGGTGTCCAAGATGCACCTTGTTAAATAACAATGTTACTGATTTATCCAATTTACTGATCTTCCTAAAGGCGCCTGTGTGCGGTCTGTGCACTTCCTGCTATCTTGTATTGTTTTGCATTATTTTGCTGAAAATAAAAAGATGCAGAGAAAATATTAGAGAATTAGACATTGAAATTAACAAATGTCAAGGAAGAATGCTAAAGACTCTAAACACCGATATCAGGGTACTGTGAAGTAGTGATGGGCTTAAATGAATCCCCATATTTGTTTGCTGAGATAGATGATTAATGTAGCCTTATAATATTTAAAACCATATTTTTATGTGTTTTCTTTTCCTTAATCTGTATTATGGTATACATTTTGGTCACCACGGGAGAACCATTGCTGAACAATGCATGTTCCAGGTGTGCCCCCAATTCCCTTTTTTCTTCACTATGTAAGTTTGGAGTCCAGACCAGATTCCTTTTGGGTTGAGCACCCCGACCGCCAGCTTCAAAGGCTCCTTTGCAGGTGACCACAGGTATAAATTTGAAGAGGTTTTTGGATAGTAATGTAATTTTAATTATAATTTTCATTTAGTATAAAGCAGAGATACTGTATGATATGCATTGTGAGTATATACATCAAAGCACTATCACTTTAATTGTTTAGTTTTGACTCTGCATTTTTTTGTATTGTGTTTTGTTTTTTTTTACCTTGATTATGCATTATATATAATCACAATGCTCTTACAACAGATTATTTAAATACACCTTATCTTATTTAGCACTAGCACTATTTGATTTGTCTCCCATGTTGGAATTAGTGTAGGACCCATAGATATTGGGGTGATGTGGCGTAGAGGTGGGCTTAACACAATATGGCCACATAGTGGAGCTGAATCTCCATACTTGTTTTGCTGAGATAGGTGATGTTGAGTAGCCTTATAGAATGTAAAACTGTATTTTTATGTGTGCACTGTTCCTTAATCTGTATATTGTTTACAGTTTGGTCTCTACAACAGCACCATTGTATTAGAATTATCATGTAGGTAAGAATGAAAAATGATGGATGAAGTTTGGGTGTTATGGGGCATGCAATATATACAGTAGCTTCTAAAGTTTGGGACCAGATTACAGTGTGACAAGTTCTTATATATGTGGTTTGTGTGCTTTTGTTTTTAATTCTGCAGTCGAGATAATACATCACAATAAACACAAGACATAAGTGCAGTGTAACACGAAATAGACAGCTAACATTCTGTCTGGAATCTACAGCCAATTTTAAGTAATTATACAAAAGATACATTTAGGTTGGAGTAAAATTTGTCTACTGTAGAGTATATGCAAGCCACAGTAAGCCTTCGAGGTAGATACAAACAAAAGGTAAGCTCTACGAAATATGGATACATGAACATCACTCTGTTCTAAATAAGGCAAGGCAGTATACTAAGAAACTGCGTGTCACAGTAGTGACCGTACTTGAAAACCAGAGTGATCTGAATGTACCTTTCCTGTTTAAATACTTTTATTATTGTCATTTGTTGTGTTACCTAAACATTCCACAAGAGGTCAGTATTATACTCCAGACTAATGTAGAAGACAGATATTTCGTAATAAAATGCATAAAGCCACTAATCTATTGACAGTCTTTTAAAGAAAAAAAAAACAGTTGCATTTGGGCAGAATAGTTAACAGCAATAACAACTACTAAGTCATTTTCATGTGTATTTACAAAATTATTTAACTCTGAGGAACAGAATGTGCTTTCTCCATATTGATGAAAACATATTATTTACTTATATCCTTTTAAGCTATTCCAATAAATTTGACTGTACGTTTCTAAATTTGTTAGTCTTTTTTAAAATTTATTTTGTTTCTTCAAATCGTACAGGAGTCAAAAGTGGTTAGTGTGTGAAGATAAACAACATTTTCAGATATAAATTAAAGAACAGGAACAATTAAAGAAAACTGAGGTGTTGAAAAGAAGAAATCAGCAAAAACTAACAAACAAACAAACAAACAAAAAGAAAACAGCAGTAAAAATCCAAATAGACAGAGAAGGATGGTGTTCTAGGATCAACAAGTTTTAATTATTGTTAGACTGTGTTGTCTTCCAGAAGTCCCTGGGGTAGGAACTATTTCTACCAACAAGAGCACGTCACTATGGATTATGAATTATCTCCTCTACTGTGACACTCCTAAGAAGGTCCATGCACATGAAGACCGAACACCGCTGCCTGCGTTCGTGCGACAAGATGGCCACCAACTCATTTCCCACGCTTGAAATAACGAGGTGTAAACGATGATAGAGGTGTCAAGAGACATTAACAGAGGTGGTCAAAATACAGGGGGGGGGGGGAGTATAAATGGGCAACTCATGTGTTTGTTCGGTTCCTGAACCATAAGTAGTTATTGAACTGCCAGCAACGGTTCGGTGACTAGGTGTTCTGTAACACTGCTCCCCCCTTGCATGGTGCTCTGGTAGACATGGCTTAACCCTTTTCGGGTCAACTTGGGGATGTCCGTACTTGGTCTTTAACTAGTGAGTTCTGTCTGGCATGTCAACCCATCAGCGTTCCAATTTTGCTTACCGGGCTGGTGAGAAAGGTGATGAGCATGGTGGAGAAACGCGCGTGTCAGGGTCTCTAGGACACCCATCTTATTTATCAGAATTACTATCTGTTTCTTATCTTGTTATGAGACTTTCATGATGGGCGTTCTGTTTTTTCGTCTATTGCTAGCAATTAGTTTTTAGAGGAGAAAGCCGATCTCTTAGAATCAGCTTAGCTACTCAGGGGTATTTTGATTGGTGCCCTCGAAGGCACAGACAGGGCTTTGACCATATTAGTTGATATTCTAGTATTGGTGTAGCTAGCCTCTTTTTGAGATTCAGGTTAGGTGTTCTGTCACACCCACAAACACAAGACCACTGACACACACAACCACACAAGCAGCCTTTCACATGCAATACCCCAAGCAGCCAAACACATACCCACACCAAACACACAATGTGACATATCGACCACACATACAATTACACTAGCAGCCCCCATACAGAGCCCACATTCATAGGTATGATACACAATGGACAAACTACACATAAACGTACAGTGTATAATATAGGAGCCCACATACACACATATACAGTGCCACAAAGCAACTGCAGCACCCTTATATAACACAAGCAGAATACACCAAAACACCTCAATTTGAAAAAAATAGTATCAACATGCCAAGTTACTTCAAAATCTTGTTTTGGTACTGCACTACTAAAACGTTGGCTGCCCCAGAACTAACCCATCTGTTCTGATACTCTGGAGAAAAATGCATTTGGCTTCACAGTTCTAGTCATTCTCTGCTGACCGCAGGTCCTTATATGTTACTGATTCCTCTTAACAGCAGAGCTGAGATTTCCGACTCCCCAACAGCAGAGCTGAGATTCCTGACTCCACAACAGCAGAGCTGAGATTACAGATTCCCCAACAGCAGAGCTGAGATTACTGACTCCCTAACAGCAGAATTTAGATTACCGACTCCCCAACAGCAGAGCTGAGATTACTGATTCCCCAACAGCAGAGCTGAGATTACTGACTCCACAACAGCAGAGCTGAGATTACAGATTCCCCAACAGCAGAGCTGAGATTACTGACGCCCTAACAGCAGAATTTAGATTACCGACTCCCCAACAGCAGAGCTGAGATTACTGATTCCCCAACAGCAGAGCTGAGGTTACCGACTCCCTAACAGCAGACCTTAGATTACCAACTCCCCAACAGCAGATCTTAGATTACCGACTCCCCAACAGCAGAGCTGAGATTACTGATTCCCCAACAGCAGAGCTGAGATTATTGACTCCCAAACAGCAGAGCTGAGATTACCGGCTCCCTAACAGCAGAGCTGAGATTACCGGCTCCCTAACAGCACAGCTGAGATTACTGATTCCTCAACAGCAGAGCTGAGATTACCAACTCCCCAACAGCAGAGCTGAGATTACTGATTCCCCAACAGCAGAGCTGAGATTACCAACTCCCCAACAGCAGAGCATGGAGGTACAACACATTTTACACAGGAGAAAAGATTATACAGAAAATTTGTATGATCTCTAAGTTTATTAAATTTATAGAAGCTCATTGGTTAAGAGAGGCCAGCTAATGGAAGATACTCACCATCAAAGTTCCAGCAGATTAACTTTTTAGTGAGTTTAACTGCAGCTGTAGGGTAACCACTCTCTCTCATTATGAAGCGATGCTCCAATCAGGAGCATTTCATCCTAGGACATAGCGTCTACTTTTATTCTGTAAACCCCTGTCCAACACAGCTTGGACAAAATTTATATCATGCATTGGAATGACAACTGTGACTGTTCCAGCATCCTGACTGAAAGCTCTCGGCTCCTTCTCAGAGCTGCTGTGATATTTAGAAAGTGCTGCAGTTCTAAGCCAGTCTCCTTGCAATACAGGTACTCATGGTGACTCTTTAACGATATTCAATTCATAGATCCTGGAAGGATGAAAGACTGAACTGATCATACTGGGAATCAAACCTGTAGTAACGCTGGTGGAGTACTAACCAAGGTTGGGAGCAATCAGCAATAAATATAATTATTTGTGAGGGTGAGTGAATGTGTAAATGTGTGTGTCTGTCAGTGAGTGTGTATGTCTGTCAGTGTGTATGTCTGTCAGTGACTGTGTGTCTGTCAGCGAGTGTGTGTCTGTGTCTGTCAGTGAGTGTGTCTCAGTGAGTGTGTCTTGGTGTGTGTGTCTGTCAGTGAGTGTGTGTGTGTTTCTGTCAGTGAGTGTGTCTCAGTGAGTGTGTGTCAGTCAGTGTCAGTCAGTGTTGCGATGGCTGTGGCTGGAGAGTGGAGGACCTGGAGGTGCATGGAGACACGCAACGCCACGTCACATTCTGACGTAGCGTGAGGATCCGCTTTGGACTCCGGATACTGCTTGTTGGCTAATATTGTTTGTTTTTTTAAACAGGGAGATGGATTTAGTAGAGGGGGGTGCTAAGATTTAGTAGAGGGAAGGGACTGGGATTTTGTAGAGGGGGGCTGGGGTTTAGTAGAAGGGTTGGATTGGGGCTTAGTATAGGGGGTGCTAAGATTTAGGAGAGGGAAGGGACTGGGATTTTGTAGAGGGGGAGGATTGGGATTTAGTAGAGGGGTTGCTAAGATTTAGTAGAGGGAAGGGACTGTGATTTTGTAGAGGGGGCTGGGGTTTAGTAGAGGGGGAGGATTGGGATTCAGTAGAGGGGTGCTGTGGTTTAGTAGAGGGGGTTGCTGTTTTTTTTTTTTTTTAATACTGTACTTTTCAAAATAAATGTTCCTATGAAGATTGAATTTTTTTTTTTTTTTTTTTGCGGCCTGCATAAAATCATAAATTTAAACCTTGTTTACTTGGCCCGTGCTAGCCTTTTAGTTTGACATGCTTGCATTAAAGGAACAATCCAGACACCATAACCACTACAGCAAATTGCAGCAGTTATATTGCCTGGAGTTTTCATTTACACTATCCTTCTACAACTGCATACTTTAAGCCAAAATGTATGAATTCAAAGGTGTTTGCTAGGGGAGGGCATTGATATAATGTTCCTCCAGGCTACTAAGGGAATAAGGATGGTATTGTACTGTACCTCTCCTGCATTGCTAAAGTAGTGCAGAATTACCTTCAATACCTGGTAATCCAGAAACTTTTTTTCTGGCCATTTTCTTCTTTGATATCCTGGTTTACACAGCTGGCACGGTTTGCAGAGAGAGAGGTGGCGATATGGCTCTTTGGGTAGAGCCATAAACTAGTGGTCGTTGAGTTTTGTTTGGGCTCAAGCGCTAGGTGTTCCTGGAAGCTAGTCACATCCCTGGATGAATTGGAAAAATCCTACTACTGCAGCTATTTTACCTGCTTGTTTGTATTTTCCAAAATGTTTATATTTTCAGTTTAGTGAATCATTCCTTACTTTGTGTCCCAGAATTCTGCTTCCGTGGAACTCACGGAATAAAGAACACCAGAGACTTGAAAAAGGTTTTAGGGGGCGGGCCGGACCGTCAAGATGCATAGTCACATGGAAGAACAGCTCCCACAATTTTTAGACCTTTAGGTTCACAAATGCTGCAAAACCCCTCATATGACACTGAGAAGTGACAGTTCAGTGCACTGTGGTCCCTTGCGTGATATTAAACCTGCATGATTGCGGCCTATCCAGGTGGTGAGTGGGGTGGACGGCTGCTCCCCGCTATCCTGCCTGTTTGCAACAAGCCGGACTCTTCGAACTTCAAAGGCGCAAGCCCTGTTTCCCCCCCTTTGGACCGGTGGGGTTTATCCCAGTCCACCCTGGTGCCCTGCTGTCGGCCCGAATGGTTGGTAGACTCACCCACATCACAAGATGGCTGCCGAGCCTGCCACACAGCACGGGCAGGCGATGGAGATGGCGGACAATTCTGGGCGATCCTACCTGAGAAACATACAGCTCAAGTGGCCCAGACCGGAACACAGCTACCTGGCGCTAAGGCCCATTTATTGGACAACGCAGCTTTCATTGACAACGAGCCGCTGGCCAAAGTGAGTTATACCTATCCTTCTGCGGACCCTTGGCGACCTACCACCACGGGAGAATCTGCTCCTGCAAGAATACAGAGTGAAGATTGAATCCTTGGAGGGAATTTATACTAAAGGCATTAAAACTTCAGTGAATATGTGAAATACTTGTGGTATATTCATATACACAGTTATACGCTATGTTTTTCTGTTTGTTATTGGCTTAGCAGATCATCCCCTATTTTTTGTATATATTTCGTGGAAGACAGGAGGAAGTTTTTGGGGATATCTTTGGAACCTGCATGAAAAGGGCTGATAACCCTCCACCACAGCATCAAGCAGCAACCTACACCCTGAGTGGACTTGTGCCTGACACCTTGTGCCTTAAGCTGGTGTTGCAAAAGCAGCAAAATGGCTATCTGCTCACACTGAGGAGACGGACCTGCGTCTACATCTTGTGTCCTGCTGGTGATGGTGGTGGGATCCCTACCTGACACCTGGGAGTGTATCCTAACAGATTATTAACCTGGTCCATACTATTCCTCCAGCTATTAACCTGTCTGGGGCTGTCTGTGGGGATCAGGGGTCTATACTGCATATGGCATGCTCTTAACAGTTTTTTCTATAAGTGATGTATACAGCATGCCATGTCGTTTAACCTGTTTTGTTTGCTTGATTTATTTTATAATGCCCTACAACTAACCATGTCTAACATTTTCCTCTAGTGTGATAAGTATTGCCCAGATCCGAATGTCACTGTTTCCAAAAACCTGGTTTATCTATGTTTGTGAATGCGGTTTGGGCTTACCAAGCTTTCTGTCATCATTTGCACACCATAAATAAAGAATATAAAAAATAAAATAAAAAAGGATTTAAACTTTGGCCTTAAATTTTGTAGAATCTGCAGGTAGAAAACAAAAGGGTTTCTGTGATTCACCGGAATGAGCTCAAAGCCAGTATTGATATGAAACCTACAGCAGCTGCCTACACACTGGGCTCTGTGTATGGGTTCACAGTATCATCTCTCGCTCACCGACTGTCATACAAAGACTGATTGTAGCTTCCTGCTCACATCAATGTGAAAGGAATGTCAGGACCAACACGCGTTTCGCTCAGTGACTACTTTTTACAGTGCACCTTCTACAAAGCACTCATACTGTGATTATCTATAATGAGTAATGCGATACGTACATGTTACTGAGCTGGAGTCTAGTTTTAGGTATTCACTAAAACATAAATTCTAGAGACATAATAAGAGATTTGCAAACCTTAGGCCAAACTCCTAGTGGCAAAAAGCTGGGGATTTTTTTTTTAATTGGTGGCATGTGTTGGCTGTTATTAAGAAACGTGGCACCTTTCAAAAGTTAGAGCCACAGCTACTGCTTGGCATTATTATATTTTAAGTATCTAATTAACTTGCCAGTGGAGGTTTCAGCTAGTCCATATTGCATGTATCATGCGATTGTACAACTGTTCCTAGAATTATCACAATCAGGGGCCAACACAGAAACCTCTGCCTGAAAAATAGATCCTCGGCAATGTGGCAAAATACCATTCCCCTGCTGATGGATGGCAAGTGAAAAGTGCTGCCCTGCAGTATGCAAAATTTATGGGATCAAGAAATTTACACCATGTCAAGGAGTTTGTGGGCCTTCATTACACCATGTCAAGGAATTAGCGGGCCTTTATTATACCATGTCAAGGAGTTTGTGGGCCTTCATTACACCATGACAAGAAGTTAGCGGGCCTTCATTACACCATGAGAAGGAGTTAGTGGCCCTTCCTTAAACCATGACTAAGAGGACCTTCCTTACACAATGACAAGTAGTTAGCGGGCCTTCCTTACAACATGACAAGGAGTTAGCAACCCTTCCTTAAACCATGACTAAGAGGACTTTACTTACACCATGACAAGGAGTTAGCAGGACCTTCCTTATACCATGACTAGGAGTTAGCGGGTCTTCATTACAACATGACAAGGAGTTAGTGGCCCTTCCTTAAACCATGACCAAGAGGACCTTCCTTACACAATGACAAGTAGTTAGCGGGCCTTCCTTACAACATGACAAGGAATTAGCAACCCTTCCTTAAACCATGACTAAGAGGACTTTCCTTACACCATGACAAGGAGTTAGCAGGACCTTCCTTATACCATGACGAGGAGTTAGCGGGCCTTCCTTACAACATGACAAGGACTTAGCGACCCTTCCTTAAACCATGACAAGGAGTAAGTGGAACCTTCCTTACACCGTGACTAGGAATTAGCAGTCGTTCCGTACACCATGAGGAGGAGTTAGCATCCTTAGTGGGACCTTCCTTACACCATGAGGAGGAGTTAGTGGCTCTTCCTTACAAAATAACATGGAGTTAGTGGCCCTTCTTTACAAAATGACAAGGAGTTAGTGGCCTTCCCTAAACTATAACACATAGCTTCAAACATTATATCTTGATGATGAGCTATATACTATGATGATAAGGACCTGCTCTAATAAAATAATTCGAAGAGATGGGGAATAAAAGGTAAAGAGGTTCAGAGTTTTATCAACTTAAAACCCAATACTGCAGGAGATGTCACAGGAATCATATTGTCATTGTTTTACATTGTGGCAGTGAGGCTGTTAATCCAGCATTATTCCTCCAGCTGTATGATGATAATAGCTGACAGAGCTCCGGGATGCTTTTACACTGCAGTGGTGGAAGCTAATGGGTTCTGTATGCTGGAGATTAATGGTTATGGATCACAAGGGTTGCTAAAAGCACACAATCTACCTCCCTTCTACCCTCTGTCCCCTTTACCCCCACCAGGATAATGAAGGCGAATATACTGCACATATTCAATGCACCACTTCATATGGCTCTCATGGCTTTCAGTACGTTTCTCATCATATTTCCTATTTTTAAAGATTATAATCATCTTGCTGTTTACAATGTGCACCCCTCTGGCTGTGTAAGGGTTAAAACGCTTTCCTATGTACCTAACTTTTACATATACTACCCTTGTGACTCCTAACCAGTCTTCTCTTCCTCCCGGTGTCATTGCATCTCCCCTGCCACTCAGAACTCCTCGCCATCTAAGTTAAGTACATACAGAAAAATGTGTGCCTCCAGGAAAACTGTGTGCATTAACATGTCAGTATTCAGTTCGTGTTCCCATAGCCACCCCAAAGGTTAGTGCGTATTCTACTGGCTGAACATGATGTGAACTGTACCAACATTGCAATGTTTTGTTTAATTAAATTAAAAATAAATAAATGGATAGGGTGGTGTGGCACTCTGTGTGGCACTGAATATTCCCACGGAATCCTTACCCCAAATACTGTGCGAAAATAGAGCTAGGTGTGGGTTACTGTGGCGTAAGCGATATGTTAAGTGTGTAAGTGAAGCAGTGTCATGTAACAAATGATGTTAGCCATGTGCTCTGTCCAATGTCCCCTCCTCTGGTGAGGCCTGTGACCTCCAAAATAAAAAATGGTGCTTTTCAGGATTTCCTCGGATTCCTTTAAAAAACAGGTCTCTAGTTTAATGATACATCATGGTAAAAGGTATACAAGGGGGTTATTGGTGTACTCAATAGATGTGGTTGTGAACATTCTTTAATAAAGTAGCGTATGTAAAGTCTACAAAATACGTAGCCAAATATTCTGGATGAATCCAAAAAAAGATCCTTACGTTCCAGCAAATCAGATACAAAATTCTGGACCTTAATATCCCCATTTTGCATACTTAAAGACACGCAGCCTGATCGGTAATTCTTCCATCTCAGTTTGGCAGACTGGGACCATTCCATAGAGATTATGCATGTATGCATGTACACAATCAACCACTTCATCATACTCAATTAATCACTTTACTCCTAAATCAGACCTAATCTAGACTACCCGATCACATAATCGGGTGTTTTAAGGTGGGTAACCCACTTTTCAGCATTAACGCATGAAATACTCACAACAACGACTGTCAAGATTCCTAAACTACTCCCAATAGCTTCCTATTAGGAAATGCATTTGAAGATCGAACAACATGCGTATTACTGACCTCAAAAATAATTTCCCCTAAATCTCAGGGAATTAGCCAACTTTTTAAAATGTGGGATAGACAGAGCAGATCTCTACCATTGCTTTTGGGGTTGTGTGGGGATTGAAATATTCTAAAAGCAAGTTAAAAATTATATAAATAGGTAGGTCTTTTAAAATCTCTCCATTGTTGGCAACATAGTGGGTAACAATGAGGGAACAAATCACATCCCAAAACTAGCACAGATGATCCTTGCTGCAGAATGTGAAAGTATATTACCCCATTGGATCTGCCCCTCCCCATCTCCACTATCCTTACTTTATATGAAAATCTCCTTCCTTTTTTATATGGATTGGGCAGCACCCTCGTTAAATAAAAGTACCCTAATGAAAACATTTTTCATCTCTTGGCAAACCCATATTAATTCCCTAGACAGAGCAACGCAATCTAAAATCAAATCAACGTTAGAATTTACAGACTGAGTTGTGGTCGTTTGGCCACCCATAGCTCCACAGTATAAATTTTACAATACAAGCTTTTTGCCTCCAATATTGAGATATTTAATGCCTAAACACCAAATACTTAGTTTGTAATGTTTTGTTTATTTATATTTAAGATGGAACATTTAAGATCTGAAACCCATAACCTCAAATGTGTTACTTATAAATTACCGCTTGTAATTATTTTATGTGATACGCTTCATTGAATCAAGCCAAGAAAATTTTTTTTTTTAAACTAAGACTTCTTCTCAAGCATTCAACTAGAAGATCCCAAGAACTCTGGAATACAGATGTTGCAAGAATGGGTGACTATATCTTTCCCCAGCTGCCATAATTAAGAAACACCCAAGAAACCCAACTAGCACACAACAAATTTATTGAGGTCCCAGAAGACAGCCAACATTTTAACCTGGACCAAGATCTTGATCAAGCTCAGCAAAACTTGAAAAAAAGACCCAGGTATAGGCAGAAATGTTTCTTATCTTCTGGGACCTCAATAAATCCAAGTGTCTTACACTACTTAAGCATTTAGGCAAAAAGGAGAAAAAAAGAGCTAAATCAGCTAATGATACTGCTCATTAGTTATTTCTGGGGGGCTTCTCCATTTTCAAACTTATTCATGAGGTGTGACTCGTAAAATCATGGAGTTAGGGAAATAGCTGGGATAGCCCACCTTGACACTCTTGATGTGCTTGTGGACCTCACAAATAACCTGAACATTCTATATTGACATAGCTGAAAAGAGACTTGCGTCCATCAAGTTCAGCCTTCCTGTTTTTTGCTGTTGATCCAAAAAAAAGGCAAAAAAAAAAAAACAGTTTGAAGCACTTCCAATTTTGCAACAAACTAGGAAAAAAATTCCTTCTTGATCCCAGAATGGCAGTCAGATTAATCCTTGGATCAAGAAGCTATTACCCTAAAAAGTATATCCTTGCATATTCTGATTTTGCAAGTATGCATCTAGTTACTGTTTGAACATCTGTACGGACTCTGATA